TAAATAAAGTACAACCGAACTCAGTTTTGCTTCCGTTGCCTTTTTAAAAACGTGTTTTTAGCGTGTGTCCAGATGTCTTAGCTGTTACCGTATGCTTTAAGCTAACATACCTGGTATGTTTTAGCGTGAATGCATGCTCCAGAATGCTTCAAGCTGACGTGTTTTTAGCGTGCGTGCATGCATGCCGTGTGTTTAAGGTGGCGTATGTTTTACCATGCCTGGCTGCGCCCAATAATACAGTGCGTTTTGTGTGTGTGTCAAATACAGAAATAGCACCCGTTACTAAGACTGCGCCCAACAATACGATGCGCCGAATGGTCGTGAAAATACGGTAGGTTGAAACAAGGATTATTTTTAGGCAGATTAATGCATATAAAATATTTTCTGATACTACTATGATTATTTCAACAAACAAGAGCAATCCAGTTGCCTTCACCAATTATCATGATTTGAGATTAATGAAAATCTACAAGGACGTATCACTCGCAATAAATAGTCCTCCATGACTTCCAGCCACTAACAGTACCCAGTACCCAGTTCCACTCACTCACCTTTTCCAAAAAAAAAAAAAAAAAAAGGCCTGCAGTAGAGTTAAGATGTGCCCTGCTTCAAACACACGCACACACACACACACACACACACACACACACACACACACACACACACACACACACAGCACAAAGCAGCAAGGTTTTATTGTGTTTTCTTGCTGGTGTTCCCAGCATGAGTAAAACAGCTGCAAAGGCAATACAAAATTGCCAAGATTCGAAGAGCCAAACCTTCGTCCACTGGGCAAACCTCTCAAAGAAAGGAGCCACAGCCTCCCAGCAGCACCAACAAGGAGCTGACCAGCTGGTGTCACTCGATGGGCTTGTTGGTAGAGCAGGTTTCTGAGTGACCATAGGGTCAGGTTTTCGATTTTTTGCTCTTTTGCTCCAGCCCGGAAACACAACAACACAATGCTGGTCTATGTTCTTTGGTGGCATGCATTATTTCAGCATTTCAAATGCTAATGCTTACCAATCAGGGGCACTATTGGGCAACAATTCATTATCATATTATTTGTGTTTTGGGTAATCTGAAAATATAGTTGATATAAACAGATGTGGTGATAAATCTTTAACATTATTGAGTCAACATTAAACCCAAATTTGCTGATGGAAAGCTTTAGGACAGTTACATGTTTAAAATTAACACATATCTTTACTGTCATGCTTTGTTCAGCACCAATGATCAATACTCAAATAATCAATTGTTCGTCACAATAACTATTGACCATTTCCTACCCAAAAGTGTGAGGTTGGTCTCCAATTTCTCAGCGGAAACATTCAGCAGCTCTTCTCTGTTGTCTATGTTGCTCTCTGCCAGCAACTGTCCCTTCAGCCACACTTCATACTCCTCTTGCTCCAGAACCTGGTTCACAGAGAGTGTAAAAAGTTTGAGGATAAACGATGATGAACCACCCGTGAGCATAAGAACATTATAACAGCGGCGTTTTTTGTTTTCCCACTTCATTAAACCAATATATATATATATATATATATATATATAGTAATAAGAAGCTGATTCGGAACAAAAGTTGAGCACGCTGTCGCGCATATTTAGTCAATGACATGTCCACACAATTGTACGTACACACATACAGGTATATTTGATCACTTACTTTTTGAAATTTTAGGGAAATCTGAGCTTCCCTTGCAGTCTTAGAGCAATCGCCTCTGCATTGTATACATACTTCAGTACCGTATTGTATAATTACTGTAAAAAATAAAGCTGACTATCAAGTACCAAGTACAACATTATTGTCAAATGTGCTGGATGTGAAACATACATTTCACGGATTTCACTTATCACTGTTTCTTTTTGGAACGTAACCCTCCACGATAAATGAGGGATTACTGAATATATATATATATATATATATTAGAGCTGTTAAAATATTTAATCGTGATTAAAAACAAAACTGTCATAATTAACTCATAATCGTGATTACTCACACATTTTTTATCTTTTCTAAATTTCCTTTTATTTATTTTTTGTCCTATTTTTTTACCGTTTTAATGCTCTCATCAACATGGAATCATGGATCAGTTTTCTATGTGCAAAATGCAAATATTTACTGAAACAATTTCGATTTTCAATTTTACGTGTACATTTTTCACTTAGAGCAGTTACTCTCACATAATCTCTCACACAATATTACTATCCATCTACAAGAGTGAAAAAAAATATTTTGTCACACAACATCTCCTTTAACAGCTCTTTTTAGGGAATCAAAATAGAGCAATTTAAAATTATAAAGTGCACATCGAAGGTAAATTAGTACTCAGCCGATAGTGGATTTAAGCCATGGTTGCATACTTCGTTTTTATCAAGTTTGCTTTGAACACAGCAGTCAGGCTAGGTTGATTCTGTTGGTCCTTCTTGCGCGGAAGTCTCTCTATAGTTATTGTGTAGACATCATTTCGGATGACTACACTTGGTTCGAGGCACAACACTGGAGACGTTTTAGTTTCAGTGTGGTCGCTATCACTGCGCCGCTGAACTCTCGACGTGCCTCAGCGCACCGTCACTGTCAGACGAACACAGAGAAGCTCCACCCCCTTTATTTATATGGACACGGAACACGGAAACCTTTCACACAAAATAGTTCCAAACAAGTAACAATCGTGTCAGTGGCATACATCGTACTCAACAGGCTACCTGCTCTTTATTCACCAGAGGCTCATCAATCTAGTCTCTTATTTCTCTCCTGAAACAGTGTCTTCTCCCACTTGGTATACCTTAGCCTTCTCCGCTAACGTACAATTTCTGTACATAGCTTGTCATGGAGGCTCTCACTGGCAATCCATCGTAGAGTCGTTAGATGCAATGCGAATGATTTCAGTTTGAGTCTAGCTTTGGACAATGTTGACAAATGATCCATAGCTGTCTGTCTTAGACGAGGGGGCGGACTACTCACATCAGCTGTGTGCTTAGCCATTAAGTGGTATTTCAGGACTACTCACATCAGCTGTGTGCTTGGCCAGTAAGTGGTATTTCAGACTCGACACGCTATGATGATAACTCAGTTTACGACTGCAAAACAGACAGGTAACTTTGGTCTTGTCAGTGGAACCATCTGACAACTTTTTAAAAGTAAACTTTCCATTCACAAACTCTTTAAGTATCCGTTTTCGGTATCTCGCGCTGCCATGGCTGGCAAAACAGACATGGGCGTGGACCTGTGTAGCGCGCTTGTTGTTTTGTTTCCGGTTTATTTATAGAGCAATGTAACATCCACTGTGAAGTGTTGCCACATTAATCTCGCGATAAAAAATTCAATCACGTTAAAATTGATTTAAATGAATGCCGATAATAACGCGCTAAACTGACAGCACTAATATATATATATATATAGATAGATAGATAGATAGATAGATAGATAGATATATATATGTGTATATATATATATGTGTATATATAAATATATATA